TTTTCGCTGATGCCTGTGGCTCTCATGTCTCGCTTGCAGACATCTCTATATGTTAGTCTTGGGCGGCCCTTGGGTCTGACTCCTTCCACAAACTCAGCATATAAGATATCTTTTGGGAGTCTACACTTATTTAAATTTAGTCCAATTAATTTGGAAAATAGAGATGGCAGAAGGTCAGCTTAGACCACCAACACATCAAAACGTGGTACACGGCAATATTTGTGAAAATTTCCATCAATGTAAAAGACAACTTGAAAGGATTCTATTGGCAATAGGTGCTGAAGAGAAACCTAAAAGCATAAAAAAGGCCATTATCCTACATTATCCACAGGCCCAAGAGATTTGTGAAAATTTTAAATATACTGAAACTGAATATGTTAATGACTCACAAATATTATTAAAGATTTAATAATGCATTTAAAAAATGCATTGAGATATGTCAAACATATGAAAAAACACCAAAAGGTTTAGCAGAAATAAACAACGATCCTATAGTAAAGATTGATAAGATAGATAAAAAAAGCAATGAAGATAGCAGAGAAAAACTCCCAAACTGTTGGGACATACATTTAACAGAGAGCTGTGTCCTTCATTGGGGGAAATTTGCAATTAACTCTTTCTCTTCTAATTAATAATATCATCGTTGATTTGACTCCATTAAATTCAATAAATTTTTTATTTTATAAACTTTAATTTTGTGTTATATAAAAAGAGCATGCATTCTCCTATAATTATGGAGATAAAAGCTAATGCAAAAGGAAAAAATCATTTTGCAATAAAGTGCAGAATGCAAAATCAAATAAACATGCAGACTGCATGGGAAATAAAATGAAAATTGTGTAAATTCAGTTAATGTTAAGAATATCAAGAGACAGAATGACAGCATTGTTCCAGATTAACCGTAAAGAAGTAAGATTTCTGCTAGACACAGGTGCTGATGTAATTATAATTTGCAGAAAATATGTTAAAAAAAGAAGTGTCCAATTAATTCCCCCTGTCCACATGCACCACATTTCTTGGTCTAATTTCCCCTGTGCACATGTACACATTACCTGGTTTAATTTCTTCTGTGCACATATATCACATTATCTGGTCTGATTCTCCATGTGCACATGTACCACATTTCTTGGTCTAATTTCCCCTGTGCACATATACACATTACCTGGTTTAATTTCTTCTGTGCACATATATCACATTACCTGGTCTGATTCTCCCTGTCCACATGCACCACATTTCTTGGTCTAATTTCCCCTGTGCACATGTACACATTACCTGGTTTAATTTCTTCTGTGCACATATATCACATTATCTGGTCTGATTCTCCATGTGCACATGTACCACATTTCTTGGTCTAATTTCCCCTGTGCACATATACACATTACCTGGTTTAATTTCTTCTGTGCACATATATCACATTACCTGGTCTGATTCTCCCTGTGCACATGTACCACATTTCTTGGTCTAATTCCCCCCTGTGCACATGTACACATTACCTGGTTTAATTTCTTCTGTGCACATATATCACATTACCTGGTCTGATTCTCCCTGTGCACATGTACCACATTTCTTGGTCTAATTTCCCCTGTGCACATGTACAACATTACCTGGTGTAATTCCTTCTTCCCTCAACAGGTCAAACAAGAAGTAAAGGAAAGATCACTCTACGAATAGTCCACGAGAAAAAAAAGAGGGAGGGGGGAAGGGGGGGGGGGAGAACACGCGTAGTCACAAAATAGCAACCAAGAAATATCACCCCTTTTTTTTTTATTTATTTCTACTTCCATTTAAAAAAAAGGGGGGTGGGGAGTAATTTACTCTGTTGTAACTAAAAGGGGGGGGGGGCATAAAAGCACGGCTCAGGAAAGAAAAAGAGGGGGGGGGGGGAGAACAAGAAATCTTTCTCTTTCTACATTCTCTACACTTGACTACATTTATGTGTGTATTTTGTTTACACACGTCACTATCTGGCTGTCATTCAAATAGTTGAGAACTTCTTTGTCTGTACCTTTGTTTTGATTTTGCTCCTTCGTATTGCCTTTAATTCCTAACCATGCATTCCAGTGGTAAACTCTGACAGCAATAAGTCGTTGACGCACGAAGGCGCACGTTTACATTATGTACGCTCTCATCAACAAGATTGTGCGTGTAGAACAATACAATGGATGGTATCGCTGCGAAAGCACAAGACAATAATCTTCGCCCTGGACAGTAGATCATTCTTCCCTCTACGTTTCAATGCTGTCCACGGTACATGCAACAGAACTACCAAGACGCGATGGCAATTGTCCGCATATGTGGAAAGCCCGACTTATTGTTAACATTCACCTGCAATCCTGCTTGGCCGGAAATCTCTAACGCCATTCCCCATCATGAGCGACCAGAACACAGACCTGAAGTCGTTGCCAGCGTCTTTCGTATCAAACTGCGGGAGTTCTTAAATGACATTCTGCAGAGGAATATTTTCGGCAATGTAGTCGCATATATTTTCGTCATTTAGTTTCAAAAACGAGGCTTGCCTCATTGCCATTGACATTGACATCTTACAATCCCTGACTTTCTCAGAAATTCAATGCTCACATTAATGTTGAAGTGTGCGCATCCATTCAATGTATCAAGTATCTATGCAAGTATGTCTACAAAGGACACGACGCTGCATACATTGTACGTCAGAAGGAGCCAGCCGATGGTGTTTTCCAACATGACGAAATACAAACTTTCCTTGATGGTTAGTGCTCCTGAGGCTATGTGGCGTTTGAACGAGTACAGTCTTTCAGAGAAATCGCAAGTTATTACACGATTACCAGTTCATTTGCCAGAACACCAAGTCGTCTTCTTTCATGAGGGTCACAAAGAACGAGCGCTACAAAGACAGGCCAACAAAAGCACCATGCTCTTAGCTTGGTTTGAACTGAACAAGGCGGATCCTGAAGCTGTGGAGTTACATTACACTGATGTTCCTCAACATTACACATTCCAACAATGGATTACTTAATGGTCAGAGAGGGTGTGGTTAAGGTTAAGACTTAATGTTCATGCAGTTAAAAAAAAATTTTGTTTGCGCAAATGAATTGATCCAAACCACTAAATATTGACCTAACCCACTAATTAGATTCCCACTTTATACAGAAATTATACCACTATGTGGCTCACAACCCCATTCCTAATATTGCATAGAAGCTTTTGGCAAAAAATGTTTAACATTTTATAATACTGCTACTTTCAAGTGCAAATATTTACTCCCATACCAGGATCTTAATTTATCCTCTTTAAATGCAGACTGACTAAATAGTTGTTAACTGCATCATTTTATTTTTTGATAATCAAAGTTATTGATATCACATGACCAGAAAACAGGAATGTGCATTTCAACCCTGACCACATGTTGAAAAGTTTTACAAATTTCAATTAAACTTTTTAGTTAGTAACTAAAGAAAATTAATTAAACTACGATTTTAACCAAACCTTTTTTTCTAGTTAAACAATGGCCTTAACTAATTCTTTTAGTTAAACTAATAGTTTCTAACTTTTTAGTTAACTTTTACCCATCACTGCCTACTAGCGTGACCGTTTGTTACACAAATCATGTTTCCTCCTAAGATATGACCTCTAGATGGTGTCAACATGTTGTTTTTATGTCTATCTATAAACGTAATGTGATGGACTAAACAAATAATAACACTTAATAATAATGCAATATTTCCACCTTACAATGGTAAGGTAATTTTTTTTTGACATCCACGTCTATTCTTTTGACTTCAATGTGTATTTATCCCACGGCCTTTGTTAGTGATGTCCAGCTGTCGTAAGCTATCTAATATATTTTACTGGTACTGGAGCTAAGCAGTAAGAATTTTTTTTCACTCATCGGGAGGTGCTTTTGTTTTGGAAAAAGGCAAACCTCACCAAACACTGGACCTTGCTATAAAGAGAGTAATCTCAGTCTGGGGCTTTAGTGCCAAAATGGGATTTTGTTCAATATCTTTGCTTGCTGATTCTTTTGCCTGTTTAACAAGATTATTGTGACATGATCGTTTATCCTTCCAATGCAAAGTTGAGAGATTTAACTAATGGCGTGACTCTAGTCCAATGTATATTCAGATGTTATAAACCTCATAGTTTTTTTTTTCTTTAATGTGTTCTTGATTGGGATCCCACACATGTTCTGAGGTTCTATTAACAATAACCAACAGCAAATTAATTTTAGTGTAGTTTTATAGATTTGAACATTTCTATTAACCCTAACCAATACTTGGCAATTGCAAAATTAATATATTCTACATATTTGTTAAATACTCTATTAACCCTAACCAACTGCAATTTAGTTTTATTCTATACATTTACTAAATATTCTATTAATTAACCATTTTAATCAATTGGTTGATTACTTCATCATTGTGAGAATTCCGTACTTTTTATTACAACTAGGTAGTTAGAGTTTTTAGTCTATGTTTGCCATGAATAAGACAAGTATTTTCTCTGGGTGGAATGACATGCTCCGATTCAATTTTAATTTCTGTAATTTAATTCTCTTTGCTAAATTTCAATATCTTGTGTTGTTTCAAACAGAATGTGCCAAAATCATCATTTATTCATTTTGAAAACATAATAATGGACTGAATTAATGGTCAATTGATACACTATTTATCCTTGTTTAACTGGGTGTCAATTTGTCTTTTTAGGAACATAACTGCTTGCTTGTTTTGATTAATTCTATTATAGCAATTTTATCAAGATGGTCATTAAATAATTACTTTTCATTCATTATTACACCTGGGTATTTACAGTTTTTAGTCTGTGTTTGACAACAGTAAATTTTATTTCTCTTAATATCTGTATTTTCTTTAAGGTTCAATTATAATTCCTTGCCATTATAATGCCACTGACCAGTTAAAAAAATTATAAAAGTATATTTTAAATTTATTTTTTTAAATTTTTGATGTAACATAACAAACCACACATAAAATAAAATAACACTTCACTTGTATAACAAATTAAAATAAGTTGTTTTTTCTTTCTTTCTCCTTTTATTGACTATTCAATTAATTTATATATATATCCAATACATAAATGTAAAAAAAAAAAGTTAAAAAGGTGAAATATAACATAATATATATAATGACATATTGACAGAGAGAAACAAAAATTATCAATTGTCTAGTGCTGACTTGATTGCATTTCTAATTTTTCACCCTTGTTATAGTTCATGTTTAATCTGTGGAAGAAAATACAACAATCCAATCAAATTCATATCACAGTGGAAATCTTTTTCAAAAAGAAGGAAGTCAAATTGGGCTGGTAAATTTGAATATACAAGAAACTATTGCCCTGAAGAATGTGACACTATTCTTTGGTATTTAAGGTGCAGCTAAGTCAATGTTGCTCATTCAAAACCTGTACCTTTGTGGTGTTAAACATGTAATAAATAGTTGTTTTTTTGTTATTCAACTTAACAAGAACTATATTATCTAGAATATTAGTATAATAATTAAATAGTTTAAAATTTTAAAAAATAGAAATTGTAATGGTGTGTCTCATTTTGTATGTTTCAGCTGGAAATGTTATGTTAATGTTATGTTAATAAAAACAATTCACTCATGTATTCAGCCAGTCATCAAAGACTGTTGCCCAGGGTGTGGCACGAGGAGCCATACATGAGCTAGGTAGTTGGGAATTTCAGGCTTTTGACTTTGCCAAAGAATAGGGCTGTCATTCACCTTTCCCAAATACCACACACCCCGTTAGTAGTTAGTGCATGCGATTCTGTGATCCTTGAAGTGACAGATTAACTTGGTCCAATTCTTTCTTTGCACTTTAATGTCTGATCTGATCCAATCTTGATGCTGTCACTTTGGTTGAGATTGTTAGTAGAATTAGTAGAAACTAATCAATAAAAAGACATGCCGTTGACCTGATGGACTAATAGCTGAAAAAAAATGTCATCATTGAAGAAATTTATATTAGTTGCAATCAATACAATAAGAAGACAAACCAACACTAAAGAATGGTATAATTTCCTTAAGGACCAAACTGAAAGTAACGGTACTGACAATTAAAGCATTTCAAATATCAACAAGTATAAGCATAGGGAAAAGTAATTATTGCTCAACTTCTTAATACCCTTAGACTTGCTATGGGTATTTTGTGTCTCTAAGGATATAACCATATAACGAATATGGAATGTCATATTGGATCTGTGTGTAAATGTAAGGCGAAGTGGGCTGGCGTTTGCCTGAGAATAAACAAGAAGGCACGACGAAGAAGTGGTCTAAGACGGCTGATAATGAGCTTTACGCTAAGTGTTTGTTTCATGTTAGACAAGAAGGCAAGAGAATAGGCTGACAACTAAAGGTAGAACAAGTAGGTTCGGCGGTTGTTTCGTAATCAGGCAAGTAGCAAGACTAATGGCAGTCAGATCGGTAGATGTCTCCTAGGATTGCCGAAAAAAAACTCATAATGGGCAGTATAATCGGCAGGAAGACAAAGTAGGAACGACGAAATAGTAGCTATATGATGGCCGAAAAGAAGATTGGCGAAACGGTTTAGTCCAATCATGGGCAGTCATATTTGTTAATGGCACAACAGAGGTGAGGTCAGGTCCGCGTAACACCAAAGTTTGAACATGGGCAGTCATATTGGTTAATGGTGCAACAGAGGTGAGGTCGGGTCCGCGTAACACCAAAGTTTGAACATGGGCAGTCATATTGGTTAATAGCGCAACAAAGGTGAGGTCAGGTCCGCGTTTGAACATGGGCAGTCAGCTAAGCGGTTGTAGCAGAATCGTAGGAAGAACGAATGGTAAGTTCGAGTTATGGGTTATAACGGCGTATGTTTCATATTAAGCAAAAAGGAACGACGAAGTAGTGGCCATCAGTATAAGATCAAAGGTAGTAGGATCAGCGGAAAAATTGAGTCTAACAATGGGTTGTCGTAATGGCGAATGTTTTATTAAAAGGAAAGAAGGCGAAACGGAGGAGTGGTCGGGTCGGCGAAAAAATAAACTTAGAATATGGGCAGATTGCTCGGCGGTTGTATCACATTCGTAGGATGAACGAATGGTAAGTTCGAGTTTTGGGTAGTCATAACGGCGTATGTTTCATATTAGGGGAAAAGGAACGACAAAGTAGTGGCCATCTGATGGCCGGAAAGAAAGAGTGGAAGAACGAGTGGTTAGGGCAGTCAAGAGTCATTAGGAGTAGGAATGACGAAGTAGTAGCCATCTTATGGCCAAAAGATATGGATCGGCGGAAAGAATGTCAAGTCGTAAAGGTGAAAGTGTTATAAAAAGAAAGTAGGCACAACGAAGAAATGTTCGGTTCGGCGGAAATCTAAAGTAAGAACATGGGCAGTCAGATCGGCGGATATCTTTTATTAGGCGAGATAAAGTTGCGAAGTAGTGCCCAACTTATGGCCAAATAGAAAGATAAGATCATGGGTAGTTGCATCGGCGTAACGAAGGAGTGGACAGTTCGGCGGAAATCTAAAGTAAGAACATGGGCAGTCAGATAAGCGGATCTCATATTAGGCGAGCTGAAACGGCGAAGTAGTGGCCAATTTATGGCCAAGTATAAACATAGATTATGGGTAGTTGCATCGGCGTAACGAAGAAGTGGACGGTTCGGCGTAAATCTAAAGTAAGAATCTAGGCAGTCAGATCAGCGGATCTCATATTAGGCGAGCTGATTTTTTATTTTGATTTTTGATTTTGGGCACATAGGCACAATTTAGGCCATGTCGTGCCTGCAGTCCCTCAAGGGCCACTCTCCCTCCACACAAATTCCATACAGTCAAGTCATTAAAATCAAGGTTTATTCACAGTTAAAATAGTAGAGGTAGTAAAATTAGGCGAGCTGAAACGGCGAAGTAGTGGCCAATTTATGGCCAAGTATAAAGATAGATCATGAGTAGTTCGATCGTCGTAACGAAGGAGTGGACGGTTTGGCGGAAATCTAAAGTAAGAATGTGGGCAGTCAGATCGGCGGATGTCTAATCTTAGGCAAGCTGAAACGGCGAAGTAGTGGCCAATTTATGGCCAAGTATAAAGATAGATCATGGGTAGTTGCATCGGCGTAATGAAAGAGTGGATGGTTCGGCAGAAATCTAAAGTAAGAACATGGGCAGTCAGATCGGCGGATATCTAATATTAAGCGAGTTGGAACGGCAAAGTAGTGGCCAACTTATGGCCTAATAGAAAGATAAGATCATGGGTAGTTGCATCGGCGTAACGAAAGAGTGGACTGTTCGGCAGAAATCTAAAGAAAGAATGTGGGCAGTCAGATCGGCGGATGTCTAATATTAAGCGAGTTGGAGTGGCGAAGTAGGGGCCAACTTATGGCCAAATAGAAACATAAGATCATGGGTAGTTGGATATGCAAAGAGAATGTCTACTCATGGGCATTCCAAATAACAAAAGTGCTATAATTAGGTAGTAAGCACAACAGAGGTGTGGTAGCGTCGAAAAACTAATGTTAGAACATGGGCAGTCATATTGGCGGATAAGTCATATTAGGCGAGCTGAAACGGCGAAGTAGTGGCCAATTAATGGCCAAGTATAAAAATAGATCATGGGTAGTTGCATCGGCGTAACTAAGGAGTGGACGGTTTGGCGGAAATCTAAAGTAAGAATGTGGGCAGTCAGATCGGCGGATGTCTAAAATTAAGCGAGTTGGAATGGCAAAGTAGGGGCCAACTTATTGCCAAATAGGAAAATAAGATCATGGTTAGTTGCATCGGCGTAACTAAGGAGTGGACGGTTTGGCGGAAATCTAAAGTAAGAATGTGGGCAGTCAGATCGGCGGATGTCTAATATTAGGCAAGCTGAAACGGCAAAGTAGGGGCCAACTTATTGCCAAATAGGAAAATAAGATCATGGTTAGTTGCATCGGCGTAACTAAGGAGTGGACGGTTTGGCGGAAATCTAAAGTAAGAATGTGGGCAGTCAGATCGGCGGATGTCTAATATTAGGCAAGCTGAAACGGCAAAGTAGGGGCCAACTTATGGCCAAATAGAAAAATAAGATCATGGTTAGTTGCATCGGCGTAACTAAGGAGTGGACGGCTTGGCGGAAATCTAAAGTAAGAATGTGGGCAGTCAGATCGGCGGATGTCTAATATTAAGCGAGTTGGAGTGGCGAAGTAGGGGCCAACTTATGGCCAAATAGAAACATAAGATCATGGGTAGTTGCATCGGCGTAACGAAGGAGTGGACAGTTAGGCGGAAATCTAAAGTAAGAACATGGGCAGTCAGATCGGCGGTTGACTCATATTAGGCGAGCTGAAACGGCGAAGTAGTGGCCAATTTATGGCCAAGTATAAAGATAGATAATGGGTAGTTGCATCGGCGTAACGAAAGAGTGGACGGTTCGGCAGAAATCTAAAGAAAGAAACTGTGGGCAGTCATCGGCGGATGTCTAATATTAAGCGAGTTGGAGTGGCGAAGTAGGGGCCAATTTATGGCCAAATAGAAACATAAGATCATGGGTAGTTGGATAGGCAAAGAGAATATCTACTCATGGGCATTCCAAATAACAAAAGTGCTATAATTCGGTAGTAAGCACAACAGAGTTGTGATAGCGTCGAAAAACTAATGTTAGAACATGGGCAGTCACATTGGCGGATGAGTCATATTAGGCGAGCTGAAACGGCGAAGTAGTGGCCAACTAATGGCCAAGTATAAAGATAGATCATGGGTAGTTGGATCGTCGTAACGAAGAAGTGGACGGTTTGGCGGAAATCTAAAGAAAGAATGTGGGCAGTCAGATCGGCGGATGTCTAAAATTAAGCGAGTTGGAATGGCAAAGTAGTGGCCAACTTATGGCCAAATAGGAAAATAAGATCATGGGTAGTTGCATTGGCGTAACTAAGGAGTGGACGGTTTGGCGGAAATCTAAAGTAAGAATGTGGGCAGTCAGATCGGCGGATGTCTAAAATTAAGCGAGTTGGAATGGCAAAGTAGGGGCCAACTTATGGCCAAATAGAAAAATAAGATCATGGTTAGTTGCATCGGCGTAACTAAGGAGTGGACGGTTTGGCGGAAATCTAAAGTAAGAATGTGGGCAGTCAGATCGGCCATATCTAATATTAAGCGAGTTGGAACGGCAACGTAGTGGCCAACTTATGGCCAAGTATAAAGATAGATCATGCGTAGTTGCATCGGCGTAACGAAGTAGTGGACGGTTTTGCGGAAATCTAAAGTAAGAACATACGCAGTCAGATCGGCGGATGTCAAATATTAAGCGAGTTGGAGTGGCGAAGTAGGGGCCAACTTATAGCCAAATAGAAAAATAAGATCATGGGTAATAGCATCGGCGTAACGAAGGAGTGGACGGTTAGGCGGAAATCTAAAGGCAGTCAGATCGGCGGATGTCTCATATTAAGCGAGTTCGAACGGCGAAGTAGTGGCCAATTTATGGCCAAGTATAAAGAAAGATTATGGATATTAGAATCGACGAAACGAAGGAGTAGACGGTTCGGCAGAAATCTAAAGTAAGAACATGGGAAGTCAGATCGGCGGATGTCTCATTTTAGGCGAGTTGGAGTGGCGAAGTAGTGGCCAATTTATGGCCAAGTATAAAGATAGATCATGGGTAGTTGCATCGGCGTAACGAAGGAGTGGACGGTTTTGCGGAAATCTAAAGTAAGAACATACGCAGTCAGATCGGCGGATGTCTAATATTAAGCGAGTTGGAGTGGCGAAGTAGGGGCCAACTAATAGCCAAATAGAAAAATAAGATCATGGGTA